TTTGTTCCAAAAGGCATTGTTTGTAAAGATAATACCGACTTTACATTTCATTAAGGGAGGTAATTAGAAATATATATTCTTATTAAGTGTAAGTTGAATTCTTCAATAAGAAATGAATGCATACATGTATATTTTAATGATTAAATATAAAGTGGACAAGCTTTTGCAGCACGTATTTTACATATTCCACAATGTTTGAAAATTGTTTTAGTAGCATAATTATATACCATATATATATAATTTCAATTGGTAACAACCTGAAATATAACTTACATGCAGGGTCTTTAATTACCAAGATATGGTAAAGACTGTGATAAAGAAATAACTGTGATCTTTGTTTTCTTATTTATTTAATTTTGTTATTTTAGGTAAAAATACGTACACATGATACAACTTTCATAAAATTGTCAAAGTTGTCAATAATTGTGATGCCTGCTTTATGTGTCATGGTATGGCAATGCACTAACTTTTTAACCAGTTCATTACAAAAATGATTTACATTTTGTTCTTTAATAAACTACTCAAATCAACCGATAGATATATTGACTTCTTTATGTTCATAAACGTACCATTATGTGTTTTAAAATCTAAATCACAAGTTTAACAAACCTGAAATCATTGGGTTTAAATTATTAACAAGATATTAAAGTCAGCAATTTTTGAATTAATGCAGACCTTATATATGTGTACGAGTCCAACAGAATCTTAATCCAGTATGGTACTAAACCATGTATAATGACTTCTTTTTAAAACACCACCATTTTTTAACATCTAAACAAAGCTTTATTCTTGAGATCCAAACTGTCCATCTAAAGTCTTATAGTCCTAGCTTCGTTGTTGGCAATCATTTTGAATCATCCCTTCGGATCCAACACAAGCCAAGTGCACCTTTCTGTATAGTGATCCTGTCAGTTGAAACTTTGCCATGGCACCTTGTTCCTGCCCAACGACGCCATTCTTCAGAATCAAAAAAGTGATCTCTGTAAAAAGAAGGAAAAGTTAATGTTGCCAAACACAGTAGTTATTGACAAAATGGTGTAAAAATTGTGAGAATAATCCACAAAAGCTTAACACAGCAATGTGCTTTCAAAATGTATATATTTGGGTCCGAGTGGGAGCATCTCTGAAATCGAGTCCGAGTGGGAGCATTTTTCCATTTTTATAAAATAAACTTTAAAGAAATAACTTTTGAATAGAAATATTTGAAATTAATCTAGAAAAATGTGTAAACACGACTCGGTTTATGTTCCGGTACGTTAAAAATAATTTTCAAGAAGGTTTTCAACCTTATTTCTTATATGTTTCGGGAAAAGTCCGAGTGGGAGCATTCAGAGAAAAACACTTACCCCGTTTTCAGACCTAAACCAGGCAATGAATCTATAAACTTTATTTACAATCATCTCAAGTACTATAGCCATTCTTTGGTGCGCTACATGATTTTTTGACACTCTTACGTTTTCTTATAATAAAATTGTATTTATATACCTTCGAGTCGACGAAAAATTGGTCCAAGTGGGAGCATTCAGCAAGTGCGCGATGACGTAGTATCCTACCATTGAATTAAATGTATTGTTTTCCTTTGAAATTATTATAGAGGTTCGCAGAATATAATTGTATTCAACTCGTTCAGAATATACTTTTATTCAACTCGTTCAATAAATTTAGTACTGAACCTACACTCAATTATATATTACATTTATAATGGTCAAAACGAGTTACATGGTAAATAAATCAGCCAATATTTCCTAGAGTTATTCTAATTGTATAAAAACGCAATAGTCAAGTTGGATTCCTTACCTATGATTTATTATCATTAGTAAAGAAACTATTTATTACGGTGTTCCGTTTGGACAATCGTGATTTTTTATTTCGTCCCTATCCGCGATATGCACGATGGTACGATGGTGAAAACACGATGATACGATGGTGAAATCGCGATGTCGCGATGGTACGATGGTGAAAGCGCGATGTTATATCGCGTTTTCACCATCATACCATCGCGTTTTCACCATCGTACCATCGCGTTTTCACCATCCTACTATCGTGCATCGCGGGTAGGGACGAAATAAAAAATCACGATTGTCCAAACGGAACACCGTACTAAAATGATAGTCTGGAGAAAACGTGAATTTCAACGGGATAGTTTAATTAGAAGTCAACTTGGAAACACGATATACGATTGAAGTTAAACCAGAAAATAGTATAGTTACTGTGGCTAGTAACCTCCCTTACACCACAATATCATATATTTATATACTTAGTGGACAGTTCAGATTTTATATAATTAGTTGGTGTTGTTTCACTTTTGTAGATAATTTAACAACAAAAACAACAACAATAATCATAAAAGCATCCCTACTCCTGCTCCGAACTATAACTGTAGCGTTTGGAACCGCAGACAGATTGAAATTCAAATACGAATCATTTAGACATCACTATTCCAAGCAAGTAATGGGTTAAAAGTCAGACGGTCGCATATATTAATCAGCAATATATTCAATGCAGCTTTGCATAAATGAGCCGCGTTACGACAAAACCAACATAGTGCCTTTGTGACCAGCATGGATCCAGACCAGCCTGCGCATCCGCGCAGTCTGATCAGAATCCATGCTGTTCGCTTACCAACTCTATTACAAGTAGAGAAACTGATAGCGAACAGCTTGGATCCTGATCAGACTGCGCGGATGCGCAGGCTGGTCTGGATCCATGCTGATCGCAAATGCATTATGTTGGTTTTGTCGTGACGCGGCTCAAATATACTTTTAACAGTTTTTCTGTGATTTCTATCTTACATGTATGTCTCATGATTATTTACAATTTACTTTCTTTTTGTTATTTTTTTTTGTAATAGCCTATGTAACAGGCATAAATCACACTAAAGGAACACGCTTCAAAATTTTACATTAGGTCAGATCGATCTCTAGACTGTATAATGAAGACACTCAAGCTCATCATATTAACATTCAATTTAAATAATTTTTTTGTCATTAAAAACCAGTATTGCACAGTTTACTTGTTACATCTAATTTTAAGCTAAATCTACTCTCGTGATATTTCGTTTTATTAAAGCGACGTCTACGAAAAAGGAAGTGACTTTATTTTCATATCGAAACAGTTTTCTTCCTGAATCTATTAAAAACAACAAAAATCAAACAAACAAACGTCCTTCATGAAACCCATTAAGATTATATCTTATATTTCATGAACATTTTTATTCATCGTTATTGTTATTTCTTACTTAGTAACATACATTGAAAGAGTGTTTTATTTTAAATGAAAGGCCACACAATTATTTAATTAATAACAGAAAATATAAGCAACGACCTGAAAGAATAGATCTGCACAGTCACCCTTTTAACCCTTACCACAATCGGAACATCTCGGCTATTATTGATAATAACTTATTCAAAGTTTGATTTCCATATGGATGTGTCCATCTTTTAAGCATTTGTGCTTCCAGTAAAAAGAAAAAAACTCAATGTGAAATCTTCTGTTCACTATTTACGTTCAGACCTTATCGTTTGCGATATTATAAAATATATCTTGTTAAATGTTGATAATTGAAATACTATACATGTACGATTTGATTCACAAAATATATCTCATCACCGTATCAGCTCATTTATGTGGAGAAGTTGTCAATGACTTGCAGACTACAGTGTTTATCACATATCCATGCAGCTTTTACGACTCCGCAAAAAAAGGTATGGCACGGCCGTGCATATATTTTGATATTTCGTGCGGTTGCATTTCTTCTGGATTTGTATACCCTTTGGTGTCGGTCTGAACCAGTTACTTGTGTGCAAATTTTCAGACCATTCCCTCATCCCGTTTTTTTTCAGAATAATTATTTTGCATTGCGCAAAATGTCCCATAAAAATAAAAAGCGTTGTAACGTTTTTTTTTTACAAAACCAGGTTAAGAATGATTTTCTATTTTAATCCGAATATACCCATTGTAAATTTCAAATTTATGTTTTCTTCTGAGCAGTATTTTACAGAAAAAGAACTACTATGTAGTCTTGCTTATAGAAGGACAATACGTGTATTTTATTCCATGAACTTAAGTGGAAACCGAGGCTTTTTCGTTTATTTTTTATTAAATATTCCGCCTTTGAGGATATGCATTAAACAAGAGCTGCGCGTTAAACAATGCGCTCGACTATTCAGTCAGTTCTCGACAGTAAGAGGGGTAAAAGTTTGTAAAAAGGTAACTCGAAGAAGAGTTATGGGACAAGTGTCAATCCATTGTTTCAATAGTTTTGCAGATACCAGCTTGCCCGCATAACCTAAAGAAAAGTGACTCGTACAATAGCTCTCCCTATTCTCAAATTGTCGAGCCTGCAAAACTGACAGGCAAGCAGTTTTGGGAAAAAAAATCAAAAACATTTTCGTCATCGAGAGGTTTTGTTGTTTCCAAACAGTGTTTTCCATGTTGGAAATTAATATTTTTCATTGTAAAGGGGATTTTGTTACCAAGTCTTTAAGGTCTCCACATTTGGTTCGAGTATCTTTCGTGCAAGGGCGCTATCCTGCTAGCTTACAGTCAGTGGTTATCGCTATGTACTCGCTCGTGCCCGGAATAACGCAGATGAGGTAAGGACATTTAAATGGACATGGTAATACCTTTCTCTTAGCAAAGATCAGTAACTTAAAAATTCATGTATTTTATCATCGAACTTCATGAAGACATTTTATTGTGAAAAGGTTACACACATGAAAAGAAAATGTGGCCAATTTGACCTTTTTTGTGCACGTGTTACTACATGTATTTATTGCTAAGATTACTTTTCGGCCTTGACCTTTTCTTTCGACCTGTCGGACCAACGTAGGCATTTCTGGACCAAATTGGAGACAAAACGCTCTGAATCAATGAAATACAAGAATTTATTCATTTATTAAACGAAATGTATGCGTATCAAAAATGTAACAACAATAACGCACATAATTATAATTGCACTAGTTGAAGGAGTAATTTAGTTAATTGATATAATTGTTTATCTAGAAACATTTTCTGTGTACAATAGATGGTCCGGATTCGTCGTATTCCTGTTTGCTGATCCACATCTGTTGGAAAGTTGAAAGTGAGGCTAAAATAGAACCACCGATCCATACAGAGTATTTCCTCTCTGGTGGAGCAATGATTTTGATCTTCATCGTTGGTGGAGCCAAAGCAGTGATTTCTTTCTGCATACGATCGGCAATTCCTGGGTACTTAGTGGAACCACCTGATAACACAGTGTTGGCATACAGATCTTTACGGATGTCAACGTCACACTTCATAATACTGTTGTATGTAGTTTCATGGATACCTGCGGATTCCATACCAAGGAAAGATGGCTGGAACATGGCTTCTGGACACCGGAAACGTTCGTTGCCAATGGTGATGACTTGACCCAAAATGAATAGCGTTTAAACGCTTGTCTCTCAAATCGGGCTAAGAAAAGCATAACAATACGAATTACAATTTATTTCAAAGTATATTTCTTAACTATCTGTGCATATATTTCTGTTTAAAGTGCCCCAGCTCATTTATGTAAGAAATTCAAATTTATGTTTTTAGGCTTTTAAACCTCAGTGGAATCCCTTTAATAAAAGAAAAGAAAACACCCTGAACCGTATTTTAAAGACACATTTATGTATGGATAAGCACGGGCAAACATAAACATTCCTCTTATCTTAGAGGATATTTTCAAAAAATCCATTCATGAATGCTCTGATGGAAATCTGCAATTGTACATTGTACATTATGTAGTTCCAAGGAAAAAGGTTACCTGTTTACCTCAGTCTCGTACCTCAATAGGGATATTTTATCCAGGGTCCGATCTATTCATAATATATGGACCAGTTAAGCTCAATAGGAGAATTAATTAATTAATTGATTTGTAATCTTGTTTTGATTCTCGGACAAGACGAACACTCGATCTCCGCACCCGGCTCTCCGTGGAAATTATTCTCAGATATTGAGTCTTATCGTCATTTGTCTCTCACCGCGGATTCAGAAATCATGTGGAATATACATGTAAGTAAATACTTTTATATTTCCCCGAATGTTTGAAAAGCTGAATAAAGAATAAAAACAAGTATATACAAGGTAACATTATAGAAGTAGTGCCATCTAAACATAAGTATAAATTTTACATAACTTCTGTCGGGATTCCTATGTAAAATTATGTTCGAATCTCGAAACTAGTGTGTAAAACTTCTGTGGTGGAAACAAATTACGAAATATTTGTCTTAGAAAACAAACATAAGCTCTATATTTCACTAATGAATGTTTATCATGATTCTATATTTTTTAAAATACTCGACTGAACGACGATTCCTAGCATTTTTTTTTAATGCGAATACTTGTTGATTTTCTATTGGTTAATCAAATTTTATTGCTCGAATCTTAAATAGAAATATTTACATATTTTCAGCAGGAAATGTTGAGTTGGGATCAGCAGAAGTATTTACTAAAATTTTTAAGGTTCCACAATTCAAGTAAACACATTCTTAAGCTATCCTTTCTGTTTCACTATAAAATTTAAAGTAGTTAATGAAAAGTGGTGTTTTTTTTTTCATTGAAACAGTTGTTTTGCTTTAATCTTCAGTTTCCCGTGGTAAAGGGAACCTATAGTGGCGCATACAGACGTAATAATATGTAAGCGTCCAAGGTCTCCAAGTAGTGTATTAGTTTAAAACATGACTTTTTTTTTTCGGCAGCCAAAGCCAAGTTCTGCGTATGCTATCGTAAAGAAATATCATCTGAAAAGAGAAGGAGTACGACTGGAATGTTCTACAGGATATCTTAATTAATAAAGCACATTGTGAAAGGCTTGGAAGTACAGGACAAGTGGAGCAATACCAATTAATTTTAAACACGCCATGTAAATGAAAAGATATATGGCTTTTGTCGATGTTACCATAAAAAGCTGGAACAGCAGTTTTCAAACCTTATCCTTGAAGTGCTAAGATAATCTATTTTTTATCAACCAACAAAAAACAACAAACAAATGGATTCTGCATATTACAATATCATTTCTTTAATTGATATCCACTGTTATAAAGCAAACATATTCATACTATTGTCATATATTCATTTTTATAAATCGTATATCTATTGTTATAAATCGATCGTTTTCATACAATTGTCATATATCCATTGCTTTGAGATCATTGCCATCCCCTGTGACGTCATCGCCATGATATGTATCATTAGTTTTATAATCCAAATAATATTTTGTTAATTGTTCCTTTCTTTTACTTTCAGCTGACTTTTTTCTGTAAGACTATAATAAAATATATATGTTCAAAACTGATTCATGTGACGACTGTACGACCAGAATCTGATTCTGTCACGTTGAGATTTTGACAGCAATAAAGCCTTGTTTGTGTAGATGTTTTCTTCTTTAATCCCGGTCAGCTTTTCTGTTCTGGACACATTTTTGGAAATATCTACAGAAACAACATTTTCTTTGCTTGGTTTATGTTGTTGAAGAGCATCGCCATTCACTTCGTCTTCGTCTGTTCTACACCAGCCGAGGTCGAGCTTGGGAATTGGTACCCAACCTTCAACACGCATGTATTCCCCGTCAACCACGAGTACGAATTTTTCGTACATATATCCATGTCAAGGTTTATCCAAAAGATCATCGGTTGCGTGTTTATACAACCACATAAAGCCACTGATGTTAAGCTTCCACTTTTGGGGTCCATTATCGTAGAATTTCTCCGTTTTATCTTTTGGTATACAAAAATAAATGATGTCACGTGAATAGTTCAGAGTTTTGTTTGTGTCACCGTTTTGTTGACCTCTTATTACGCGAGTAAACAAATTTCGAAGACATTCGGTCATCTTAAATGATATCTATTGCTTGTAGTTATATCGTACCTTTTATGTTTATGAGAACGTTTCTCTGCAGCTTCGCAACGACGTTAGTGACGTCAGTGACGAACCAACGTCAGTGACGCAATAACGTCGTTCGAATGAGAAGATGTAACTTTTCTTTCTTAATACATGTATATCATTTTATCTCTGCATAATTGTTCAATACGATGTATATTCTCTTCTCTGTTTTATGGCATTCTGATCATTTAATATTCAGAATTAAAGGGACTCCACTGAGTTTTTTTTACATGATGAGACTAGAAATAACTTTTCGAGATTAATATTCCATTTGCTGTAGTCAAGACTTGAAACTTATGTGCAAAATTTCAGATAATTCGCTCACGCCATTTTTCCAGAAAAACATTCTAATGACCGAAAACTAAAAAGCGTTGCAACGCTTTCTATATTCAAATCCTGCTAAGAATAACACAAAGATATGATTTAAATTGATTTCTGATTACATTTCTTAATTATCTTTTTGCATTATTTATGTTTTAAGTGCCACAGCTGATCTATGTAAGAAATTCAAATTTTATGTTTTTAGGCTTTTGGACCTCAGTGGAGTTCCTTTAAATTCGCCACCAAATTTATAATGTTTTCCTTTCAATAAAATCTTACATGTTTCTCATTTATTTATTTAAATAAATCTTATGTTTCTTAAACTGAATAATAATATGAAATTAAACAAGTCAAAATGTCTAAACTACAAAATATGTTCATGACGAATAACCAACAATAATTCTCCCAATAAATCACGCGAGATTTAATGGTTATTTTTAAGCTAAATGGACTACGCGAGGGTGATCCATAACTGCTCGAAAATTAGCCATAAGTTCAATAATATTTATTAGATGTTCATATGTTCATATTATAAGCACTATGTTAATAAGTATAATATATCCTCTTTTTAAGAAAGCAAAAATTGGATCAATAAACAACCAGTTCTTACTTTTGATATATGAAAAAGAAAAAAATATTACATTGGTGTAGCGTCATTGCTAAATGTATTGTTTTTCTTTGACAATAATTATAGAGGCTCGCAGAATATAATTGTATTCAACTCCTTTAGAATATACTTTTATTCAACTCGGTTTAATAAATTCAGTACTGGACCTACACTCATGTATATATTACATCTATATTGGTCAAAACGAGTAACATGGTAAGTAAATGGCCCAATATTTCCTGATTCTGATTTTTAAAAAGCAATAGTCATGTTGGATTTCGTACATGTACCTATGATTTATTATCATTATTATAATTATTTTGTAAAGAAACTATTTATGTTTTGGGTGCATTTATGCCACTGCTTCCAGTACATACCCCCATCTATATGCATATCTCTAAAATGATAGTCCGGAGAAACGCGAATGCAACAAAATACATAAATATATAATATTGTGGTATAAGGGAGATTACTCGCCTGAACTGTAACATTACTGTTTAACTTCAATCGTTTATGTGTTTCCCAGTTGACTTCTATTTAAACTACATTTTTGTAATGTTACAGTTAACAGGCGAGTAATCTCCCTTATACCACAATATTATATATTTATATATAAGTGGCCAAAAATAATTCTTAACTTCAGATTTTATATTATTAGTTGGTGTTGTTTCAAAACAACAACAATAAGCATAAAAGCACCCCTACTCCTGCTCCGAACGATAACTGTAGCGTTTGGAACCGCAGACAGATTGAAATTCAAATACGAATCATTTAGACGACACTATTCCCAGCAAGTAATGGGTAAAAGTCAGACGGTCGCATTTATTAATCAGCAATATATTCAATGCAGCTTTGCATAAATGAGCCGCGTTACGACAAAACCAACATAGTGCCTTTGTGACCAGCATGGATCCAGACCAGCCTGCGCATCCGCGCAGTCTGATCAGAATCCATGCTGTTCGCTTACCAACTCTATTACAAGTAGAGAAACTGATAGCGAACAGCTTGGATCCTGATCAGACTGCGCGGATGCGCAGGCTGGTCTGGATCCATGCTGATCGCAAATGCATTATGTTGGTTTTGTCGTGACGCGGCTCAAATATACTTTTAACAGTTTTTCTGTGATTTCTATCTTATGTCTCATGATTAATTGCAATTTACTTTCTTTTTGTTCCTTTTTTGTAATAGCCTATATGTAACAGTCATAAATCACACTAAAGGAACAGGCTTCTAAATTTTACATTAGGTCAGGTCAGATCGATCTCTAGACTGTATAATGAAGACACTCAAGCTCATCATATTAACATTCAATTTAATTAGTTTTGTCTGTTCGCTCATTAAAAACCAGTATTGCACAGTTTACTGTTGCATATAATTTTAAGCTAAATCTACTCTCGTGATATTTCGTTTTTTTTAATCGACGTCAACGAAAAAGGAAGTGACTTTATTTTCATATCGAAACAGTTTTCTTCCTGAATCTATTAAAAACAACAAAAATCAAACAAACAAACTTCCTTCATGAAACCCATTAAGATTATATCTTATATTTCATGAACATTTTTATTCATCGTTATTGTTATGTCTTACTTAGTAACATACATTGAAAGAGTGTTTTATTTTAAATGAAAGGCCACACAATTATTCAAAAAATATTTATAAGCAACGACCTGAAAGAATAGATCTGCACAGCCACCCTTTTAACCCTTACCACAATCGGACCATCTCGGCTATTATTGATAATAACTTATTCAAAGTTTGACGGAAAGATTGCCCTTTCCATATGGATGTGTCCATCTTTCAAGCATTTGTATGCAATTTTCTATGCTTCCAGTAAAAAGAAAAAAACTCAATGTGAAATCTTCTGTTCACTATTTACGTTCAGACCTTATCGTTTGCGATATTATAAAATATATCTTGTTAAATGTTGATAATTGAAATACTATACATGTACGATTTGATTCACAAAATATATCTCATCACCGTATCAGCTCATTTATGTGGAGAAGTTGTCAATGACTTGCAGACTACAGTGTTTATCACATATCCATGCAGCTTTTACGACTCCGCAAAAAAGGTATGACACGGCCGTGCATATATTTTGATATTTCGTGCGGTTGCATTTCTTCTGGATTTGTATACCCTTTGGTGTCGGCCTGAACCAGTTACTTGTGTGCAAATTTTCAGACCATTCCCTCGTCCCGTTTTTTTTTATCAGAAAAATTATTTTGCATTGCGCAAAATGTCCAAAAAAAATAAAAAGCGTTTTTTTACAAAACCAGGTTAAGAATGATTTTCTATTTTAATCCGAATATACCCATTGTAAATTTCAAATTTATGTTTTCTTCTGAGCAGTATTTTACAGAAAAAGAACTACTATGTAGTCTTGCTTATAGAAGGACAATACGTGTATTTTATTCCATGAACTTAAGTGGAAACCGAGGCTTTTTCGTTTATTTTTTATTAAATATTCCGCCTTTGAGGATATGCATTAAACAAGAGCTGCGCGTTAAACAATGCGCTCGACTATTCAGTCAGTTCTCGACAGTAAGAGGGGTAAAAGTTTGTAAAAAGGTAACTCGAAGAAGAGTTATGGGACAAGTGTCAATCCATTGTTTCAATAGTTTTGCAGATACCAGCTTGCCCGCATAACCTAAAGAAAAGTGACTCGTACAATAGCTCTCCCTATTCTCAAATTGTCGAGCCTGCAAAACTGACAGGCAAGCAGTTTTGGGAAAAAAATCAAAAACATTTTCGTCATCGAGAGGTTTTGTTGTTTCCAAACAGTGTTTTCCATGTTGGAAATTAATATTTTTCATTGTAAAGGGGATTTTGTTACTAAGTGTTTAAGGTCTCCACTCTTGGTTCGAGTATCTTTCGTGCAAGGGCGCTATCCTGCTAGCTTACAGTCAGTGGTTATCGTTAGGTACTCCCTCGTGCCCGGAATAACGCAGATGAGGTAAGGACATTTAAATGGACATGGTAATACCTTCCTCTTAGCAAAGATCAGTAACTTAAAAATTCATGTATTTTATCATCGAACTTCATGAAGACATTTTATTGTGAAAAGGTTACACACATGAAAAGAAAATGTGGCCAATTTGACCTTTCTTGCGCACGTGTTACTACATGTATTTATTGCTAAGATTCCTTTTCGGCCTTGACCTTTTCTTTCGACCTGTCGGACCAACGTAGGCATTTCTGGACCAAATTGGAGACAAAACGCTCTGAATCAATGAAATACAAGAATTTATTCATTTATTAAACGAAATGTATGCGTATCAAAAATGTAACAACAATAACGCACATAATTATAATTGCACTAGTTGAAGGAGTAATTTAGTTAATTGGTATAATTGTTTATCTAGAAACATTTTCTGTGTACAATGGACGGCCCAGCTTCGTCGTATTCCTGTTTGCTGATCCACATCTGTTGGAAAGTTGAAAGTGAGGCTAAAATAGAACCACCGATCCATACAGAGTATTTCCTCTCTGGTGGAGCAATGATTTTGATCTTCATCGTTGGTGGAGACAAAGCAGTGATTTCTTTCTGCATACGGTCGGCAATTCCTGGGAACATAGTTGAACCACCTGACAACACAGTGTTGGCATAAAGATCTTTACGGATGTCAACGTCACACTTCATAATACTGTTGTATGTAGTTTCATGGATACCTGCGGATTCCATACCAAGGAAAGATGGCTGGAACATAGCTTCTGGACACCGGAAACGTTCGTTGCCAATGGTGATGACTTGACCGTCGGGGAGTTCGTAGCTCTTCTCAAGACTGCTAGATGAGGCAGCAGTTTGCATTTCCTGTTCAAAGTCGAGAGCAACATAACATAATTTTTCTTTAATATCTCTTACGATTTCTCTTTCGGCTGTCGTGGTGAAAGAATAACCACGTTCTGTGAGAATCTTCATAAGATAGTCTGTCAGATCTCTTCCGGCCAAGTCCAATCTCAAAATGGCGTGAGGAAGTGCGTAACCTTCATAGATAGGTACAGTGTGCGATACTCCATCTCCAGAGTCCATCACAATACCAGTGGTACGACCGGAAGCGTAAAGTGACAGGACAGCTTGGATAGCTACGTACATGGCTGGTGAATTGAAGGTCTCAAACATGATTTGGGTCATCTTTTCTCTATTTGCCTTAGGATTGAGAGGGGCTTCGGTGAGAAGTACGGGGTGTTCCTCTGGGGCAACACGGAGTTCATTGTAGAAAGTATGATGCCAGATTTTCTCCATGTCGTCCCAGTTGGTGACGATACCGTGTTCGATTGGGTATTTCAGAGTTAGAATACCTCTCTTGCTCTGTGCTTCATCGCCGACATAGCTGTCTTTTTGTCCCATACCAACCATCACACCCTGAAATATACAAGTAAATTGTTTGATTAGATATATAGTCATAAACCATTTACTAAATTTTCTTTAAGAGAACCCAATCTTGATAACCTTATCCTTAAACCAAAAACTATATAAAAAATTCAACTTTGACACGCATGGCTTATTCCCATTAAAATCATAAACCGGAAAATTAACTCATCCTCGTTTCGACTGTAATAAACATTTCGCTGATTCAGCAGTCAGTAATGTAGGAATGTTACACTTAAATGTTTATTCACTGTAAATAAGGATATACAGAAGTACATGTATGTTGATAAGTGACGCGCGTTCAGGGCTTGTTAAAGTTATTATCTACATGTATTTAAATGAATGTGCTAGGGCGGATATAACTACTCTCTGGTTAACTCGAGGAATATCCGTTTTGTTAAGTGCCTACGATCTTCAACAATTGTCCGGACAGATCTTCCATATCTTTGGTCTTTTATGAACTTAATCTTTACATAATTTAGAACTTCAACTCGCGTGTCAATGGTCATGTTTTTTTTATTAAAGCTGCATGTCCCTAATTGAGACAAAAATATTTCAAGACAATAAAACTTGAGAAAAATGTACGAAGGTTTTAAGAGAAATAAAATATTCAAGTAATGATTTACATGTTACGTGCTATTAACGGCTAATTTTGCAGCATTTAACACCATATTTCTACTGCGAGATTAACGCAGAAAGGGCTATTTTTGCATATTTCAACCATTTTTGTGGAAGCACCGTTTGCAATATGCAAATTACTTTCTTTGTTCAAAATATTTTACTTGTAAATACATTTTCAAAATTTTCATAAATATTGACATGAATCAATCTGGAGGCATGCTGCTTTAATGCTTGGAACCCATCAACACAATTTCGCATGAAAGTTGAAAGCTTTCCTTGCTTTAAGCATGGTACATGTATTGTTCGATATGAACTTTATTTCGCTGTTTTTATAAAAAGTATCTTGTGCATGAGCGTCTAACTTAAACCATCACACAATTTATGATACAGATTCTGTAGCATTCGTTAAATTTGGTAAATTAAGACATACTAAAGGTAAAAATATAAAATATGTTAGTGGCTGCTTTCTGCATTGTGACACTTATCAACGTTCAACTTTACCTTGCACGACCCGAAAATGCTTAGAATTTCCAATGGTTATTCAAGTTTTAATTTTGATATTGAAATCCTTAGTTCCGAATCAAAGCATGGCCTAAAGGTAGTCCAATATATTAGACGTTACAGGCTTGTTATAGTTTTTGTCGGTTGCTTTGCCCAGAAGCAAACTATCTCAAAGCGACGTCATATTTATAGGACTAGGCCTAAAGGATGAGGTTCGGGTATGTAGATGAACAAGTACTATATTCGAATATCAGAATAAACGAGCCTTTATAAAGCAAACAGCAAAAAGGGGCACCGAACATGTTTTGCACTTCCTCACTTCACCCCTGCACCCCTCCACCCTTTTTAAAATCAGACAAACGTGCAATAAATGATCTACATGTTTATTGAATCAGTTTATATCTGAATATACATTCCGGAAAAGGGTACATTTATAGAATATCTATAACATCCGACATTTGTATGGTAAACCGATAATGCTTATGACATGGTAAATCTTATCTACATGTGCGATGTTGATTGTCGCCAACGCCCTTTTACGATAAAAATGCTCTAGTAACAGTTCGTAAATAGAATACAGTTTGTATTTTGGTATATATAATTATCTGATTATATCACTGAAAATAGATAATGGTATTTAGCGCAATAAAAAATATGCAAAAATAAAGTTACTCATACCTGATGCCTGGGTCTGCCGACAATCGAGGGAAACACGGCTCTCGGGGCGTCGTCGCCGGCGAAGCCAGCCTTGCACATACCGGATCCATTGTCTACAACCAAAGCTGCAACATCTTCGTCACACATTTTTATTTATTTAATAGAACCTTGTTTTTTTAATAAACAAATAAGACCCTCCTGTACGTCCGGTATCAAATACACAAGTGAATGCTAAACTTTTTCCAACTATTTCAATCCGCGTGTTTCACCCTAATTATTATTCATATGACCCGCGTTCTTGAGGTTTCCGATAGAAATAACCATATATGGTAATATCCTCGGCTCAGCGCATCACTGCATTTGCTATAAATATATCAATAGTACTTGTATGTATACATTTAGTTTATGTCACGTGATCTGACCAATAAACTCAATAGACTGTAAAGAATGTAAAGTAACAAAATAACATATTTTTATAGCCTACTTTCAATGAACGTAGTAAATTTCCTCAGGCCAAACCAATTTCTTTGTGAAATACGTTTTTCTCAAGCGACACTAAATACAAACAAAGCTATTAATGTATGCTACTTTAAAATTTTAAAACAGGGGGAAACTTAAATAAATTACATGTACTAAAGACACCCCCACCCCCTAAAAATAAATAAATAAATAAAAATATTAATACAATAAACAAAGAAAGAAATAATATCAATAATAAAATAAAAATAAATGAATGGAGCGGAGGGGGGGGGGGGGTCACTTCGTGGGATTTTCGTGGTGGATCAGTGACAAACCCAATGATTGATGCATTTTATTAAATACCTTATGGACACCTAAGAAACATTGCTATCTTTTGAATGACATTTTTTTTTCTTGAATGACATCCATTTTCTTCTTGCATGCCAGTAGTGAGTCAGCTACTAGCCCACAGTAGAAAATCATTGAGTGACCATGTGACAGCACATATCCAATGAACAACCTTGATACTAGAGAGAGATGAAATGATTAATATGGAAGCAGTTGAAATGATTTTGAAAATTGAGTCATGTATGCAATATCTCTTAAAATGTTTTCTTTGTTGGCTTTAAAGCCACACCGGCACTGTAAATAACATATGGCGACTATTCTTCTCAGTATTTAAGTCTTTTTTCAGATATGAATTTTATCTGGCTCTGTATTTGAAAATGTACTGGCACTATATAATATTATGTAGTTATAGCTTTAAATAATACATGGATATTGTTGTTTACTTCTTTAAACAATGTTTTGTATGTCTTGAATAATGCCAGGAGGGACAAAAATTGCTTAGGAAGTCGCCATATTACAATAAAATGATCAGCGATATTAGCCATTGAAAAAAAAAACAACAAAAAACAAAAAAACTGATTGTTCACAACTTAAACTGTTTGAATGTAATATTAACCTTAGTAAGGTGTAAGGTTAAAAATGCTGACGCGGACAAAACATTAAATATTGTTTAAACACACATATGAATCATCATGTAACCGAGAAAAGTGAGTCTTTTTGTCGTCTGCTTTAACACCGGAAGTGACTCAATAACACTACACAGAAGCCCGTTGCTGATAATCAAACTGTTTCCGTTATTTGATAACCCCACTTTTAACAACAAAACAATTGCTTAGTGTTGTTCAAACCCTTTTAAAAGGGATTTTGTTACTTTATAAGTTCAAGATAGCAATGCAGATTAGTATCTGTAACAATTTTTGTCATTTATCTTTAATGTTAAAATTCAAAATATATACAGATGACATTTTTAGCAAACTGCCATTTTCCCAGCATTGAATCCTGTTTCTTCCAAATAAATAAGACAGTCGAATTTACGTTTACTTTCTTTTTCATTTTATAAATACTCATTTATTTTGATTACATTTTAGATAAATAGGTAATGAGGGAATGATGGCCTGGGTGTTGACGTTGGCATTGTGTTTTAAAAAGGTGTGCCTTGCGACCAAGGAACGTGCCTCAAACACCACTTTGTTTCATGTCTAGTTCTGGCTAGTCTAGTAAGCGGTAATACTTTGCTTATACATGTAATATGTAAGACTAATGCCATTAAATGGTAATTTTCGACAAGGAAATGCATTTCCGATTTATTCCAGTGTGTTTTATTGGAAAATGTCTTAACACCACATCATTGGTACAATAAAAAATAAATGAAAATAAATAAAAATGAAAATAAAAGTTAAATTATAACGTTCTCTTTTTAAAAGTAAACAAGTGAACGTTCTCAGTTTATAAGTAAATGTAAACGTTCTCATTTTATAAGTAAACAAGTAAACGTTCTGGTGATAGAAGTAAACAAGTGAACGATCTCAGATTATAAGTAAACAGGTAAACGTTCTCATTTTTTATAAGTAAACAAGTAAACGTTCTCATTTTATAAGTAAACAAGTAAACGTTCTGATGATAGAAGTAAACAAGTAAACGTTCTCATTTTTTATAAGTAAACAAGTAAACGTTCTCATTTTATAAGTAAACAAGTAAACGTTCTGATGATAGAAGTAAACAAGCAAACGTTCTCAGATCATAAGTAAACAAGAAAACGTTCTCATTTTTTATAAGTAAACAAGTAAACGTTCAAACAAGTAAACGTTCTCAGATCATAAGTAAACAAGAAAACATTCTCATTTTACAAGTAAACAAGAAACATTCCCATGATAGAAGTAAACAAGTAAACGTTCTCATTTATAAGTAAACAAGAAAACGTTCTCATTTTATACGTAAACAAGTAAACGTTCTCATTTTATGAGTAAACAGGTAAACGTTCTCGTTTTATAAGTAAACAAGAAACGTTCTCATGATAGAAGTAAACAAGTAAACGTTCTCATTTTATGAGTAAACAAGTAAACGTTCTCATTTTATAAGTAAACAGGTAAACGTTCTCGTTTTATAAGTAAACAAGAAACGTTCTCATGATAGAAATAAACAAGTAAACGTTCTCATTTATAAGTAAACAATAAACGTTCTCACTTTTTAAGTAAACAAGTAAACGTTCTAATTTTATAAGTAAACAGGTAAACGTTCTCATTTTATAAGTCAATGTTAATTCTCATTTTATAAATAAACAAGTAAACGTTCTTATGATAGAAGTAAACGTTCTTAAATGTGATGTCATTGTGTTTTTGGAAGATTATATGTATTCATTTTACTGTGTAAATGAGTAATGTCCACAGTCAGTAGTTTTTCAGTTATACTTTTGTTTTACATCCTTATAAGGAAAGTTTGAATTTGATACGGCAATTTGAAATAATTGATTTTAGAACAATAGTTATTTGTTAAGTCAAAATAAAATCAAGTTAGTTCAATTGTAATTTTTCCTTTCATAGCGAACAGAAAAAAAATCATTATTAGTGTCATAAAGGCATATTTTTCTGTGATACCTTCTTTAGAATTAACCATCAAGCGTATATTGCCCTGCCTCAGCGGAATTCTTTGTTTAACTGGTGATTTTGAATATTAGATTAGGAAAACAGCATGTATTTTTCAGTAAACATTTTTCCTCTATCTATTTACATGTTTAACATTAAGACTTAACTTCCTAGTTTCAACAACGTTCATGTATATACATGTATGTTTGAATATTTGTCCTCTTCATTTTCTCTTCCTTGATTCAAGAGTCGTCGTAAAATTTCTATCTTATAAATGAAGTGCCCGGATACATGCCTACTATAACTTTTCCGGTTTGATGTTGACAAATGTTTCGTTCATTTGTATATGTTTATGACTTCATGCTTTAAATTCATATTTATAAGGTATACAATATAAAGATTGAAACTGCACGCCTGATGGATGAGCAAACACATTTACAGCTAATCAAGAATAGGGAAATACATTAAAGGCCCATTAATTAAGCCCTCCAAAATGCAAAATAAATATTTAATTCTAAATAACATTTTTTATTAACGGAGTCCGAAATTGTACCATTCGGCCATATGTCTGAATCATCTAAATAAGTACAATCATTGTGAGTTAGCACTTTGTTTATGGAAGACAATATTACCTTGTTTAAGTGACAAATAATCAAAGATTCAAAGCTGCTTTCTGCACGTGATCAGTATGCTTAAACATTATAAAACAGGATTTCCATATTGGGTTAAAAAATTGTATTCATTTGATTAATAAAACATTGTAAAATGACCCTTTGTAGATAGAATAGTGTAAATTACTTTCGCACTGTGACGCCACATAACTGCGCTGTCGCATATCTAGTGTGATTTTTCAAAACTAATAATAGCGTATAGCGTTCCAATATTTCAACAAAAACAATAATGGTGACTTTGATGATGATGACGAGGAGGGAGAAGAAGATGACGACAACGAAGACGACTATGACGATGGCAGTGACGGAGGTGATCGTACGTATACGTAGCCAGCTTTTCTGCCCCTCCCTCATTCTAACTACATACTAGTATATGTATATTGATTTCATCTTTTTGTCGTTCGTCCGCCCGTTCCGAAACATTTTAACATTGGAGTCTCCAGAGTCATTTACATGTATTCATCGGTGTATCAAGCTGTGTACGTACTTTATATATTTTTTAATGCTCTTCAAAGGGTGGCATATTAAAATCGAACCGTCCGTCTGTCAGTCTGTCAGTCCGTCCGTCCGGAGTTATACATATAGACAGTTGTGGTCGTGTCCGCTCTGAAACTTCAGTATGCATGAAAGAATTTTAATTTTTCTTTCACATATGATATAATCATAGATGTATGGTGTGTCGCGAACAAGAATCGTGTACCTACGACTACGGTCAAGGTCACTGTGGGGGTTAAAACTTTGTCATTTATTATGTTATATAAATATAGAAGGTGGTGATCGTGTCCGCTCTGAAACTTCAGTATGCATGGAAGGATTGTAATTTTTCTTTCACATATGAATTAACCATAGATGTATGGTGTGTCGCGAACAAGACTCGGGTTTCTAACACTAAGGTTCAGGTCAATGTGGAGGTTCAAACTTTTTTATATTATATAAAAAAAAATGGTGGTGGTTGTGTATATATTTTTTCTTAGGGCCCAAAACTAAAGTGATATATTACACCCCAACATAAGACTATATTATATAATTGTATAATGTTTCAAATTTATACATAACAGATAGAATTCCATACGACTATGGTATGACAGACATAAACAAAAACTAGAAAATGTTGTTTTGTTGTATATTAACTAAAATTCAAATTAAATGAACGTTTGAACATAATATTTTATATTC